AGATACTTATCTCACAAGTTTGGGGTCTTGTTGATGTAGTCTGGAAAGACTGAAGTGTACTGCTGAGCATTTCTTTAATCACTTCTTACAAGCACAATAAAGACTGAACTCAGTGGAGCATATTATTAGACAGATAATAACCCTCACCCAGCAAGATGAGTTGTCTGGAAAGTTTTGCTTTGCCTTTAAAAAAAAAAAAACAAAAAACAAAAAACACCAAAACACACACACACAAAAAAAACCCACACCACACAAGTGTCTATATAACCCACAAGACTACCTAGACCTGCCATGAAATTCTTACCATCTCAACAGCTCATCTAGCTTTGATTTTAAGGACTGTACCTTTTACTAGTAAACACGTGGAATAAGGACCAGATATTGCTCCCCTGTGTAACAGCAGAACTTTTGTCAGGAACTCAGAAGGAGGCAGTCCCAGAGGCTTTCTCCAACGGATATATGAAGTGACAACTGCTTGACAACTATAGCTCAACTTCTGAGGGGGTCAAGGAGGAAGAAAACATTATAGAGCTTGCAATTAAATTTAAATTGAGATTTTGAAGTGCACTAGGTGGTACACAAATCATAGAGGGAGAAAGCCTCAGAAGATCTATTGAGCTACATGAGAACATAACCAAATCATTCCTTCAGCAGAGTAGATAACCAACTAAATTTGGTTCAGACAGACTGTGTTTCAGTACTGCTCCCATGCCCCTCCTGGTAGCTTCTGTCTTCGCATCTACTTTTAAAACATAACATGTTGAGTCTGTGCATTTCTCCCCCCTGCCAAAAATAATCAACCTGAAAAAAACCCCACACCTCTGAAATTCCAAATCTGCAGTCTTAGTCACTCTTCTGATTACCCTTTTATGCAGCCAGATTGTTCAGTGTAACTCTGACAAAAAAGTTGTCTATGACTAAAATGGGAAAGTACACACAAATTACTTCACTTCCCAATCCCTACAAAACCCAACATCCAAAAAATCTTATCACAGAAAAAAAAAAAAATAATAATTAGTCTGTACTCCTCTGATGTAAACTCAACTGCTACTCTCAATGATCACAGCCACTCTTCAAAGTCTCAAAGATAAAAAGAATCTTATCATTTAAATTATTACTTCTTAGGGATCCTCTTATCAAAGTTTGAAGGAAAATTCTAAAAACAGCAATGATATGAAACCAGGACTGAGACATACTTTAAATGACACTGGATTTTCTGCCAATTGGCCAATTCACAACTCAAAAAAGCAAATGTAGACATAGACAAAGCTGTTGGCTCTCATAACCTTTACAATATCACAGTAAAAATCTCAACTGTCTCACATATTTATACTAAATGGCAGGTCTAAAATTTAGATTTGTAATTTCACAGCATCAAAATCATCACAGATGGCTACAGTCTATTGCTTCTTTAATCTGTCTTTTCTCCCTTCCTGCTTGTTTTCTCCCTTCTCCTGTGACTTTAAAAGATATGTTTTATCATAAGAAAATAACTAAATCCAAACCACATTATATTAATGCGTAATAAAACAATTTACATAACAATGATGCATACAAGCAAAGTTTAAAATTACTTTACGTCTCAACTTTGCCCTAAAGCACTAATTACCTTAGCCTTGAGATTTGCCACGAGTTAGGACAGTTTCATGTTCCATCAACAATATTCCACATTTATGGTCTGCTAAATGGATAACCATTACTGAAAGAGGTTTAGAGGAGAACAAATAATAATAATAATAACAACAACACACCAACAAGTAGGTTTGCTTTGGGTTTGTTTTTTTTTTAGCACCAAGTTCACTGGTAAGCACAAGTTCACTGGTAACCTGTAAGAATCAGTGCTCAGCTAGTATTTCCACTGATCAGGGCAAATTTTGCAGAAACAATCCTGTTAAGCTTCCCAAAGAAATATGGTTTAAATATGTGGCTCCTATCCCTTCCTGCCCTCGGTTTTGCATTTTTATGTGCACATGCAAAAACACATATATACACACAGATATTCAGTAAGACAATTATCAATAAAGTCAGCTGAATTAAAAAAAAAACAAAACAAAAAACACTGTAGTCGGAGGAAGGATAGGTTTTTGTCATCATATTCAAACACCTTAAGAAAACTGACAGTTTTTTTAAAATTCTGATCAAGGTCAGAGAGTCGTTAACTCCCACTGCAGGCACTACTTTAGATGTGACGTGGCTTCCTATTACATTTCACATATAGATCAGAAATTAAGCAAAAGCAGCTCAAGGAAAATCCATTATTCAAAACTCAGAAGGTTGAGTGACCTTGAAGCAGCTTTTAGGGCAACGCAGGCGCCAGTGGCCCATCCCAGCACTGTGTGGCAGGAGACAGGTCCCAGAAGAGGACAGAGGGCTCTAACAACTCCTGCAGATCTCCCAACAAGGGCAATGCCCAATCCACAGGCCTAAACTATTTCTGCCCACCGAGCTTTTGTCAAACATTTAAGATCTTAATCAATCCTAACTCTGACCCTAGGAACACAGGGGAAGATGGATGAGGAAACGGACAACCTCTGACCTCTCCTTGTGTCTGTCCTGCCACTGTCAACCTATTGAAAAACAATTGAGGTGGAACCTGCTAACCAGCTCCAGTACCAGCCCTGCACCCTTTTACAACTTCACCCAAACTCTAAGTCTTTCCCCCGACCCCAATCCTCTGTACCAAAACCATAGGAATCCTCCTCACTTCACCCTCCTCCTCCCCTCCAAAAACCTGCCAGAGCAGAACATTTGCTAAACTATGAAGTTAAGTGGGATAAGAAAAGGGGAGACCTCATTCAGCAGTGTCAAAGGCCAAACTGCTTTAAAGGCCTCACTGGAAAGCAGAGAGAAAGCTGCATAGTTGTGGTAAACTTCATGAATTCATGAAGAGGAGCTCCCCAGTAAACTGTTTGGACCGGATAATGGCAAATGTGAGAAAAGGAAACTACAAATAAAAGCCAATGAAATAGGCTTAGCACTTTCAAATTACATGCTGGCTTAAATTCTCTCAAAATGACTAGTACAGACCAACTTCACCTTGGAGAACCCAAGGGACAGACCATTTCTGTCTCTTTTGTAAATATGGCATTGCCTGATCTCCCCTTTATCTGGGAAAGACAGAATTGGGTCCAAGCTTCCCCGAGTGCAGCCAAGAGCAGGTAGGTGAACTGACATTTATCCCCAAAATCTAGACCAACATCACAAAAATAATATTTTAAAAAAGCATCCCACTATCACCACTGCCCACAAACAAAACCTCGAGATTTCCTCTCAAGCAATGCAGGATTTGTTATACAATTAGCTCAACAAGTCTGGGCCATGGACACTGAAAAATGGTAGATCTGTGTCAATCAAAGTTACCAAGTACTGAACTAACACGCCTTCAGAAGAAGGCCAAGTAATTTCTGTGCAATAAACAAAGATGCTTCCACCCCCCCTACCATTCACTTCCTCTTTTCACATTGCAGGCTGTAAAGATGTCAAGAAATTATCAAGCTATTAGAAGGTAACAACAGCACATCCCCAGCAGCACCCAGTCAGTAATACAGCCACAGGTTCACACATTAAACGATACACAAATTTTCAAATCTCCATCTCAGGGGATTAGAAAACAAACAAACAAACAAACACCCAACAAAAAAACCCCACCAGAACACCAGAGTAATTTACCCCAGACAGGATGCCCCATCATTGTGCTGCCCATCTTTCAGTCCTCTCTACAGCCCATGGTAATTTTGTGGCCAATACAGCACACTTAGGCTTTTTCCATACAGCAAAAACACTAGAAATAAAGGCCGAAGTTTATACTTAGTGCTTCCTTCCTGCCAAAACTTAATTTCAATGCATAATGATGAACTTCATATTGATTGAAAATCATCAATTAAAAGAAATGCAGTAGGACATTCAAAAGACACAGCTCTCACAGGAGTCTAGAACAAAAGCAGCCAGTTACTTGCTCTCTTTTGTTAGCAGCTTCAAGATTAAAAAAAATTACCTAGTGAAAAACACAACAAGAAAACGTGAAGCAAACTTCCAGAGAAGCTTTTCCTAAATATGGGTCCAAATGCACTAACAAGCTGAGCATCTTCAGTTCAGCACCCAGCAAAATTAAGCCCGCTGACCTGTGCAAGAATCCATTTGAGTTTGAGCTTAATTTATGCTTACATGAGCAGGAGTTTAGAAGCTGAAGCTTAAGATGTTTTATTTATAAACTCCCTTCTTTCTCTAACCTTTTACAACTTATTCCAGGAAGGGAAAGTGAAGATAACATCTTTAATGGTTTTTTATTATTATTTTCAGGATTATCTGTCTTTTATACCAACTTTAATCCCTAGTTCCACAGCACACAGGATGGGGTGTGTGGGAGGGTTGGGTGGAGACTTTTAACATTTCTAAGAGTATCCTAGCACCTCTATTATTAAGCCGACAATAGAGACCCTCTGAGAAATGAAAATATTTAACAAAGACAGCAGTGTCAAATATCAAAGGGTTATTTAGTGCTAAAAATTTGCAACAAGTAAAACACCAAAGACTTGCCCTTCTCGAAGGAAAGTAATCCAGCTAAAACTCCTGTTCCCCACTCCCCAGAGGGTTCTTATCCCACTGCACTATTCAAAGGAAATTTTGCCAGAATTTCCTATGCTTAACAAAGCTCACTTCAGATAAAACTTGAAAGATTTGTGTCTTTAAACAATGGTAGCTCAACTGCACTGTTTTGCAGTCATTCACATTTTGGTGACTACTGGGAGCCAATTCAAATTTAGGCACCTGCTAGAAAACGTGTTTCACCTTCTGCCTATTACTGCAGGATCATTTGTTTTGCATTAGGTAATTCTTAGCCTTGCCACCTGGAGCTACTGGACTTCTTCATTAAACCCCTCTGTCCCACCGCATCCCACAGGGGCTGCTAATTACTGGCTTTACGCCATTTACTCTCATCTCCAATTCAATTATGCATTCAACTAAGGTCCTAATGAAAAGTACAATATGGCTCATCCTACCTTGGCATTCACCATTATGTTCTTCATAGCCAGCATTGCACAGACAGTTGCCAATGGGCACCAGCCATTCTCCATCTGCCCCACAGTACATTTTTGGCACATCCTTCTCTTCTGAGTTGTTGACACAGGAGCCACGAACCTCCACCAGAGAGGATGTATCAGCTCCAGTCACGGTGTCTGGAAACTGTGCCAGGTTTCGAACTGTCAAAGGACACTTCTTATAGAACACACGAACAGACACCAAAGCAATGCAGGCACCAACGTCCTGAAAAGCCAAGTAAAACCCTTTCTTGCCAAGTGGTCCCACATCCCGTATCTCTGTATTCAGCTTCATGATCCTGTCACCAATGTCCACCTGGGTGAAGCTCTCATCTGCAGCAATGGTATCGATCTTGGCAAACTGGCTCTCTCGAATAAAACGCTCCTTATCGTTGTTCGATTCATAGTAATAAAGGTTGAAAGTCTCTTTGCAAGTTCCCATGACACCCGGCAGGCTGTTGCAGTCTCTTAGTGTGAACTTGATTTCAATATATACCCTTTGAGCCCCCTCACGGGGAATCCAATCAGTTCGTAACCAATTATTCTGACTGGGTTCCATCACATTGCAGACTTGATAGGTGCGGATTGGAGTGTTCTTCTCATCCATGATGCTTACTTCCTCCCACTGCAAAGAGGGAAAGGGGAAGAAAAATATGTCACTATTGAAAGGAACCAACAGAGCTTCAAAGCTAACAATCTGCACTTCCAACAACTAACGTGGAGACTGTGTTTCTTCCATTACAGGAAAACAAACTAAACTCAACAACCAAGCCATAGCCAAGACCTCAACTATTTGAACATTAAAAGAACAATCTGTTCAGGAGATAAGCTCCAAATCAAGTAACACCTCAAGAAGCAAGCATCTGTTTTAAAAGTTCGCTAAACTAATCCAAGAATATTGACTTACTGTGTTTATTTGTACTACACTCCAACCCACAGAACCCTGCCTAGATCAGGGCTACGCACAGCACTTTAGACTCCTTGCACGTCAGGGACACTAGGCTGCTTCCCCTGTAGCAGACAGCACAGAAAATACATGGACCCCACTTTGAACATGGGACTATTAAACAGTGAGATCACATGACTTGGTCACACAAGAACCACGGGGCAGAGACAGAGCAACATCCAGATTTCTGGCATTACTACCACATATGTTTAAGTCTTAAACCAGTCCTTAATACTTCTCTAAGCTGCCAACTACTTTCCTGGAGTAGCAAGATCCCAGTCATACTCAACAGTCTTTACTTTGGAGGTGGACAGAAATAGCCACCTAGAGAGATTTGGGTGGCACTTAAGAAATGTAAGGACGGGTAAGGAAACATCCTCATCAGTCAACCAACAACACTGACACAAGTTGGCAGAGTTTCTTATCAGTGTGAAAGTGAGAAAAGAATGAGCATTACACATCTTGTCCTAGAGGAACTATCAGGAAATAGCAAAAATCATATTATCAAAAACCCAAAAAGGTGAAGAGAGACACTAAGTGCTGAAAGATCACAGTAGCATGATGCTTCAGAACTCTTACACCCCTTAAATCAAGTTCAGGCATCTTCAGAAGTGCCAAACTAATACGCAACATAATTATGAAACAATACACACAATTCAAAGAATGAATGGAAACAAGAGATCTGGCCAATAGTTCAGCACAATTAACTTACAAAAGGAAAGCAAACATAACCAACAGTTTAAAAGTAATTGTTATAAGGATTATCATAGACAGAATAAAGTTTATCGTGGTGCTTTTCTGGTAGAGATAGACAGGGGAGAAAAAGGGGCATTAAAAGCATCAGAAAAATCCTTCTTAAAAAATAAATGTGGATAATGATACACTGTCTGGGTTTGCAGGCGATACAATGAAGCATATAAAATTATTCTTGGAAAACAGCAGTAACTTTAAAGAGACTTCCCAGAAGTGCTTTTCAGAACTGCTGAAGCCATGGCTCTGATAAACAGAAGCCTTCTTAACGTTAAGGGGCTTCTTGTATAATATCCTCCATTCTTCTCACAAGGATTGCTCTTATGCAAGTGATTTCTACTTAAAAAGATTCCAGCTTAGCTGAATCCGTTTATAGAATGACAGTAGTTAGCACCATGAGTCACTAGGAGCAGAAAGTATAATATTTTATTTGCTGCCTAGAGATAACTGCAAATTAAAATGAAGGAGGGGAGGGAATCAATATTCAGCATGTCACTCCTTTTCAGAGAAAAGAAAAAAAATAAATCTTAAAAAGTCATCTATCAATGTAAAGTGTAACATGGTGTTAGTAAGAAGACAGAGTTGTTTAATTTACAGCTGCCACAGAGCTAGTTTACTGTTACAATATTGTCTTTGTGATCCATCACTTTCTATTCTGCTTATCTTCAGGCTGTCTATGCTACCTATATTGTGTGTGGTACAAGAGAAAGGAAGAGGCAGAGGGAAATAATACTTGTTGATGGGATTTCCTTTAGTACATTTATACAATGGGGGATGCTGCTAGAGAATTCAATAAAGAGACTGCTGAGGTCAACGAACAGACCGCAACTAAATTCAGCCAGTTTCAGGTCACGTTCTCAACCTGCCTCTGTCTCCTGACAGACACACAAACATACAGAGCCAGGTTTCCTATTTCATAAGCACATGTACACAAAACAAACCTAAATTCATCTTACTGTCAGAGCTGAAAATAACTACAGCCCTGAATTTCCAAATTTCCAGCCTATAAATGATTCGCAACTCTACATATGTGGTCAAAGCTGTAAATTTTTGCTTTCAAGATGAAATTGACTTTTATAATTCAGCTCTTCCCACAGTTTAATGATGTAGAGTAAAACATTCTGGACACAAAACCTGCTTTTCAACTGTGAAATGCAAGAGTAAATCATTAATTATATTTATAATGCAATTCATTAATTCCTCCAGGGCTACTATATATTTGATTACTGCTAAATTACTGTATTTCTCTCCAGCCCGATTATCCAAACAACCCTTACATCTCAGGATCTGTGTGGTATAGATTGAGAAAAATATATGTTGTAATAGACAACAAGGCACACACAGTTAAAGAAAAACTAGCACCAAAGGACAGAATCTTCCCAAAAAGATAAAGGAGTAGTTCATTTCTGCTGCTTGAAATAAATCTGCAGTATATGAAGTTAAAATAAATGCCTTCCAAGCACTGTATCTCAGAGACAGACCATGTATTCTTAAATTTTTTACTACTGGCTTAAAAATAGAACACATGTATGTAGGTTTAGTGAAACAAGTCACGTCCGCAATAGGAGCACACATTTCCTTCTCAAGCTTCCATAGCTCTTTCAGATAAAACATGGGGGAATCCAACAGGCACTTATAATATACAACTGTCCTCCAATTATCAATTCTACCACAGACTTATTGAAACTTGTATTTTAGGTCCTATTTTAATATACATCATAGATACCCCTTGGAGAGAGGTATGAAAGACCCCGTCTCATTAAGTGACCTTTCCAAGGTATAGGATTAACAAGGAAGCCCGACTCTGACTGAGATAGAGCTGTACCTTTCCACACTGTCAAAAGATGAAGGTAATTGCCTGCAATCAGCAGTGAATGTGGCAGCGCCTGTGCTTCCTCAGGCCTGCCAATCACTTCCCCACTCTTTGAAAAACCCCAGTTTCGAGGACAGAGTTTGGAGGACAGCAGAGTGCTTTGGCAGAGCACAAGCCAAGACTGTAGTCAAGTTCACCCAGGACAACAATGGGGGAGCAAAACAATCCCCCATTCTTCTGTCTTACGATTATTCAGAGCTTATGCATAATGCATCACCAACCAACGCAACTCACTGCTGTTCCTTTAGTTCTGCTTCTTCTAATTAGCAGCAGGAACGCACACCAAAAAGTTTGTAGGTTTCCTGAAGAATCCAGTGCTTTATTGCACACAATCTTTCAGCACTTTTTTCCATCAGTTTGACTTAGTTACTTCTGCTTAAGCATACTAAGCTGTTTTACTCATTTCATATTAAAAGGATTGGGGGGTATATTAATGTGCATTGCTGGAATTTTTCTTAGATTGTTCACTTCAAGAAAGAAAGCGCCTTTCTAATTGCTTATGAAAAAAAAAATAAAATCCAAAAGCACCCATGAAGTACCGTCTCCATCAGATCCTACCAACTCCAAAGTCCAGTGTGTTTAGGAGTTTCCCACAAAAGCCCTGGGCACCCTGCAGGACAGGGCACAAATGAAGGAGCAGCAAGGTATCCATTTACTAACAGAAAACTGAATTAGTAGAGATACCTTGCCTGCAGCTCACTAAGCAAAGGGGCCTAAGTCCCAGTGACAGATGCGTGAATCTCTCAATGTCATCTCATCACCATCGGGCAGTGAATTCAGGCAATCTTGTCTTACAATTGTCTCTTTGAAAAATACATAAAAAGAAACTCCAAGGAATCACTGTCGAGCAGTAGGTGCTTCAGTTTCTGTTCAGACACCAAAACATAACTACGTTTACATCCGGAAATAGGACAATGGTCCTGTCACACAAAAATGTCTGTCTTGTGTATTGATCCCTACTCCTTCATGCAGAAATAGAACAGCAATTGCCCTGAACATCTCCCAGCCGACACAGCCCACAGATACAATAATTACAGTAAAGAATGCCACTTCAGTCGCAGATCACGTTTCTTGTTGGTATTTCGGTTTTAAATAGGCATCTAAGCCTATGCTTCAACCAATCTCCTAATTCTGAAACCTCTTTTCTGCCCTTTTGGTTTCCACTTCTTCCGTGACAGAACCATCCAAAGGGAGTATAGAGTTTCTCCAACAAAGAGTAATTCACTTGGTAAGCCAGGGAAGAAATCTGACCTCCTCACCACAATCAACAATAATCGAGCCATTAGGATTCTCTGAAAGTTACTAATCACCCCCTTTACCCTTTTGATCAGATAACGGTTTAAAACTTACCCCTCCTTCCAAGGGACTCGCTATCCACCCCAGTTCTCCCTGAACTGATCTGGAATCCAGCAAGGTAACTGCAGAAAGGTACAAATAAAATAAATTAAATTCCAACTGCCAAGAGGCAATATTAAAATAAATCGTTCATCTGAGCGTTTCCACATGTGTGGATCATGATCGTATCCACTTTCAACTTGAAATTCAACGTTATTTCCAACGGCGCGAATACCTTAAATAATCTGAAACTCCGGGTTAGATGTGAGGGATCGCACGCTCGTTCCCCCGCGCGTTTAAGCCGCTGGCAGACGGCGGGGTGACCAGTGAATCCCCCGGACTGCTCCGGCAGCGGCACCTCCAAGTGCTCCTGCTTCGGAGGGACAGCGGCGGGCGGGAGCGGGGCGCGCAGAGCCCGGCCTTGGGCGCCCGGCATCTGCCGCCGCACCTACCGGCGCCACTGCCCGTTAGAGAGGAGGGAGAAGTTGTCACTGACCGGGACCTCGGGCACTCG